GAAACACAGAGGTTATTCAATTTTTTTGCGTTTTAATGGAAATTCCCATATGTTCATAGGCTCTGACTTTTAAATGGCTTTTGGTTTTGCCAATATAGGAGGCCTTACAGTCTCCACACGCGTAAAGCAAGTTTATTTTAGAAACTAAGCAAAACATTACATATGCTGAAACTTTATAGCTTCATTGACCAACAATAAAATATTACAGGAACAAAGAAAATCTCACAAGTTAACAATATAAGTTAGACTTTAAAGGTCCCTAAAAAGCAACAAAGATACAGAAATAAATGCTTTACAAATGAACAATTCTTTCCTCGTAAGAGCTGAATCTGTATTTTGTTCCACAGTCAAAACGCATCTTTAAGAATAAAACCCAACTATTTAAAACAATCTAAAGATAAATGGAGAAATGCATTACAGCAGTTTTATGGATATCCAACCATCTGCATCGATATTAGTTGAAGTTGTCACAAAAAAGTGTCATGCCTCATTTTTAATACAATATGCCATTAATAGTGGTACTTTTACAATCTAAGAGTTCAATGCAACAAATAGCAAACTTTTACAACAAGTTAAAGGTAGTTATTTCAAAGGTATGTGTGTTACTAAGGGCATAAGATGGCCCACTATATCGCAGAACAATAAAATGAGGATAAGAATGTGGACTGAACAACTGTGGGTAATCTTGATCGTCTTATCTACCAGAAAAAGTAGTATAAAATCATGTTTTGCACGCCACATCGATGGTAGTACGTTCCAGAATGGTGCTTAACATGGCACGTATATGATATCGACATGACCTGATTTTGAATGATCCTTTGTGTAAACTAAGGAAATTATACTTACAAGCAATGTTGTGTTTATGGAGATGTTAGTTTGTGTCAAGCTTCAACTCAACATTGAGTTACGCTGCTTTATCCATAAAGGGCTTAGTAATGTTACTAAATTTCACGTTGCTGTTTCCAACAGCATTTGCATTTAGAAAGGGCTTCTTCGACCCTATGTGTCACCCTATCTGTGTTGTTTGAACTTGGTTGGTGTGGTAAACGCAACATGTGGATTGTTGAAATAAACACACAGATATTTGATTTCAAAACACTGTACTGTCATTAAATAATGTTCATTGTGTCAGGGGAAAGTGTTGTGCATGGTTAACCTTACGAAACATTTACATTACGAAAGACAAACCCAGATTAGACTTGTGTTAATGAAAGTGGCTGTTAAATAGTATGAATGGTTCTATGAAGCGGAAGAGACTTAGGCCTGGCATAAATTATTTCAGTTGTGCCTAGATTACAGCTTAGACCTGAATATGTGACAGAGATCTACGCAATGCAATACAGAATAAAAAGTTAACTCATATCAATAGGGGTCTTTCATTTTAACTTACACAGTTTCACTTACTCAGAATTGTTTACAAATGGACAACATATGACTGTCCTTTATGATGGTGATACTTATATCTACATCAAGAGAAGAAATACTTACTGTTTCCAATGTATAAGAGTTGATTCTCAAAAATGTATCTTTTGTGGTAGATAGTTCTTTAATCGTTTCACTAAATACACCTTTTATAAACATAACGTTGATAATGAATATATTGCACTTTTTCTGTTGTTCTTTAAACGACTTTCATACTTTACTTCATCCTTTAGAGACATTTAAAATATTTTAAACATTTCTTTGGGCAATGAACATATGTAAAATATACTTAAACCAATACGAAAAAATATACATTTAGTAACTGTTTACTCATTACTATGCATTCAGTGGGAAAATCAGATGATACAGAATGCAGCTATGAGAATAACAATAGGAGCAACCAAACACCGTTTTTGGCTTGCTTTTGGCAGAATTAATACAAACCAAAGGATTCTAGCAAGACAAGCACTACACCGAGCAACCACAACCATATCTCACCCACTACATCAGCACTTAGAGAGAGAGAGGGCAGACGAAACAGTAAAACAAAGACTGAAACTGGTTAAGCCATAGGTTAGTGAGGGCAAGAAAGATGTAGAAAAAACGTGTTCACCGAAAGAACATCAAGAGCGTTAGGTTTGGTCCATTCAGTTGGCATTAAGTTAAAATCAATGAATCTTGTTAGAAAATTTGCATGGAGAGAAAGGTCAGAACTGGTTGATACATCGGAATTCATAAAAGATATATATACGACCTACATTGATCGTAGTAACAGGTGGTTCAGTCAGAAAAGGGGGGAAGGAACCGTGTAGAGAGACAAACATCTACTGTTTTAATGGTCAGCAGGAAAATCACGGGTGATCCAGTTTATTGGGAGAAGAACGTTAAATATTCGAAGATGCACTTGTCTAGTTGATCATTAACAGTGAATATCAGAAACGTACTTCTGACAGAATCCCTAAACCCCGTCGTACAATTGGACACAGGTTTTTACAAACAAATTGGTAAAACCTTTAAGAGACGTGAAGGCTCATCTGATAATGATTTATATTTCAGGCTAAAGTGGCATATCATTCAATGAGCAATTGAACCACCTAGGTGGTAAGTTGCAGCTCTTGGACGACCTGGTAAGTTTTATGAATGATATCATTCGTTAAATAGCATGTAGACTGAGGACACAGGAAAAAATGTATCAGGGATCGCATTGGTCAACTGAAAAGACTGGAGGAATGTCTGTGAAACTGTAAGAGTGGGACGAGCGTGAAAGTGTCTGGGAAGGGCAGAGCTACTTAAATCAAATTGAATTTGGCATTATAACTAGAAAACCCTTTAAGATATTAATGGAGAGAGGAGAGCCTTTGCCAATCCCAGGGCTAGTCTCCTCACGTAAAAATAACAATATAAATAATATTAAAATAATCTTATTTACATTCAGTACGTGGTGTTAAAGGTAAAAATAATTATAATGAAAAAAACTAATTCAAAATAATTAATGATGATAAGGTAGAAAGTCAAAGTGATTGTTGCCGGTCTCGGTGGTTTATAATTGAGTATGGCGCAATGCTACCTGGTCTACATACTGACAAACGTACTGAAACAGGACTCCATAACTGGTAAGAGGAGAGTCTGTGCTTTGACCGATTCTAAGCTCCTGTAGGGTGTAAATAAATACCGCGTGCGTAATCCTATGAGAGAAATGATACTCTCAACCCGCTACTGTTTCATCTCCATTCACCGTGGGAAAGCTCAAAGTAACTTCAGTATAATGTGAACAATATGTTAAAAATACTCACCATTTCATGCACAATGGTAGAGTGAATTGCCAAATTCAGGCTTAAAGAACCTTAATAAATAATATTTAATGTCAAACAATAAATCGTTAATCCGCAGATCCACACTTTTCTCACTTACGATTACTGTGAACGCAGGTGCTTAAACGTCTGAAACAAATACTGTAATGCGAGTGGTTTGACCAAACTTTAGTCATAATCTTTGTATTATAAAATGGTATCTTTTTATCCTTAAGTGGTTCTAAGATATCATGTTTAAATTACCTACTTTCCTAAAAATCAAATTGGCGAAAAAGATACATATCAATTCCACGAAGAACAGCCCAGCTGTAAAGAACACTCTCCACAGTGCTTCTATCTTCTTCAGAAGCCGTCATTTGTTACTTTTCTTTTTTTGTTGTTGTATGACGTAATCTCTATCCTTGTGACGCGTATTTTAAATTGGTTGGCTTCGATTTTTATTTTCAAAATTTAGTTTACATTTTTGCTCAAATAACCCACTTTAGCGTGTGTACAAGTATGTTGATAACGCTGCTTCTGCGATTTTCACATATTCTCATCATTAAACTTAACGATATATACTTGTTACTCGATTCTGTCTTCTTCATGATATACATATACGTGTGAGAGTGAGGGTGTATGTGTGTATGTGAGCGCGCATATACTGATACTCCCTTCCCCTTAGTTTAAATATCTGTGTTTTCACTTTCATTTCGTCTTCACATAAATAACATTTAAACTATCGTATGTTGCGTATTTTACACATTATCAACCTCAACAAATTCCCCTAACAGTAATACTTTTTGTGGTAAAGAATGAAGTATTCAGTAACAGTATGTGGCATTTCGTCCTTTCATTGAACTATACTATATTAGAGGTTTCTACGGTGTTGTTTTAGTTACAGTGAGTCTTATTACTTTACGTCTAACCTAAACAAGCCTTTTTCACCTTTCATTATCCTTCTTTGTTTGCATAAAGTTAGAGTCTTCTCTACAGGAGTTTGTAGTCATATCGTACTATGTAGAGCGCGAGTTGGTTCTGTGATAGAGTTCTGAATTTCGGGGCTCGCTATCCGGATTCGATTACTTGCGATACCATAAAATATTACTCGCAATTTAAGCTGTAGATGCGTTATAATAGTGACAGTCTATAGATTACCACGGATGGTGGGTGGTAAGGCGCTTTGGTCAAAATTATGGACTGTGAGAGATAACGCTTAGTAGCGATACTATAAAAACAAAATTCAAATACAGATTCTTATTATGTATGAAATAATGTGGGAATTACTTGAGTAAAAAAATTATATAGGTAAAAACTCTTAAAGCAACACTTCCAAACAATGAAATAATAATAACACATCTGTTGCTCAATAATACCAACATTCCAGTAAACAAACACTGAAACATAACTCATTGGAACAACGAGCTTTTAACACTAATAATACATCAAAGATATGTGATAATATTATGTGTTAAACCTTACCCAAACACAAAACATTGTCGCAAGATTATCCACTTATACCGAACAGTGTTATTAACCGAAGATGACACATTAAAGAACTAAAACTGTTTACAGACAACGTGTCAAAATGATGACAACAATTAAAGAGAACTTACTTAAACACAACACATCCAGACAGTGAAGGAGGAGCTGTCCACATCACCTGAATCTCGGACTTTGGAATGTTTGAAGTCTGGACGATGGTATGAGGACAGTCATCAGAGAACTTAGACAGGCCATCTCCATATAACTATAATGTGACGTACAGGAAAAGATATATCGTGAGCACAGAAAATATATCACGTGCTTAAAATAATGCAACAGAAACAAATTAACGAATCCATTATATAACCGTACTAATCGTCTTAACTCATGCTCAATTATATGGATGAATAGATAAAAAGTAAAATTCAAAAAACAATTTTTAGAATTAAAGACAATCCAGATTAAGACAAGGGTTGTAAAGGAGACACTCAAATAGGCATACGTGGCAAGAAGCTTTGAAAACCGATGTTGTAGATTAAGAGTAAAATAATACCAATGTTATAATAGATATATCATAATACTGGCAAATTCATCTTTAAAAAAATGAATTTAACATTACTTATTAAATGAGTAGTTCTAAATGAAAAAAAAAATATTATTTTCCATTGGCAGTAACATGAAAGCATCATCATCTTTCAGGCATTCATACACTACAAAACTGCTTCAAGTATCGTGATTTAAGGCCTAGTAGTATTCCTTTCTTAATGTCTATCTAACATAAGAAATAGAAGCTATTTAATTTTCCACTCTATTTATATTAATATGAAAATATTATCTCTGCAACTAATGCTTACACTGGCCCCGTCAGCCAAATATATAAGTGCGCAAAACGTTTTTCAGTATCTGTATAACGCACACATAAATAAGTACCAATACTGACTATCTGTTGTTTTATTACACGTATTAAAAGAACTACATTTATATAATCGGTCCATCAGTGAGTTATTGAATGGGCAAATAAAATAAATTTGATAAAGAGATAGTAATTCCTCTTTAGAGTAAGGACAATTTTCAATATCCACAAAGAACGTCACAAAATACTCTCCATTAGATATCTGTTAGGACGGATAAATCATTTTCCTCTTAAATAAGAAAAATTAGGCTTATATTAATTCTCCTTATATTTATTTTGAAAAATAAGCTATAAATTGATTTTGTGTTATTATTCGACAATTTGTGTTATTATTTGACAATTTGACTCCTAGAGGCAAAATACTGGTTAAATCCCATTTAAAAAATATTATATCTAAATTATCAAGTTAGCTATTCTTCAACGTACTAATGTACTTCAATAAAATAACAGTAAATAACTCAAAGAAACATACATTTCATCCATTAAAGTACATTATACAACTCGTTACCACAGAAGATTGTTTAAAAGCTGTCTTCACTGTGAGACACAGACAGACAGACAGACAGATAGACAGATAGATAGATAGACACCTGAAAGAAGCCAACATTCCCTGATGCCTTGTTGCCAAAGTTGAAGATGCTTACAACTTCTTTAGGCTCAACCACAAGCATAAAACCGGTAAATTTCTGGATACTGTACTGTCTCCTATATCCTTGTAGGGAAACTGTATGGTAGAAATACAAATAAAAGAGCAACAAATGAAAGTATTAATATACTTCTCAACTGATTTTAATAAAATAACTAGTAGAAAATTCCTGAATTGTACAATCATGTAATATTTCTCATTAAGAGACCACACACTATGTTTAATAAAATTACTAAACATACACGCTTGATAATGGCTAAACATAACGCTCGTGTTTCTGCTAGGATCTTATATAAATAAATATTCTGCTGACAAATGTTTATTATTACTAAACATAACACTAGTGTTTATGCTAAGATCTTATGTAACTAAAATTTTGCTAACACCTGTGTTTAAGATGAAAGTTGCGCCTGTTGTTAAGAGGCTCTTTCTTGAATCGCCTATTTTGGCTAGTTTATTTTTTTACTCGTTCCTAACACGACTCTTACGTACAGATTGGAAAATTGTGCTCCATGAAGTACATGGTCAGTTCAAAAACTCTCAGAGAACGACAAAAAATAAAGGGATAAAAGTGAATAATTATTCCGTTATGCTCTGTGAGCCATCATGTAGAAAATGGTATCGCTTTAATATAAAATTGTAAAAACAAAATCTCAAGTGCCATGTCTCTAGAGCAACACGAACAAAGGCACTCCATTTCGCGTTCCTAACAAACAGCCTACTATCTTACTTGCAAATATTGCAAAGACTGATGCCAGCCTGCCTTCAATGCGCAAGCGCCAGGGATAACGACATAAAAATGAGACAGAACCGGGTGGTGTTACCAGAATCGTGCTTTTTCTTATCGTTTTGCCTCGCGGTGACTCAGAAGTAAGCTCGAGGGCGTATAACTAAAATTTTGGATTCCATCCCTGCGGTGGCATAGCACAGTTGTCCCAATGTGTAAATTTGTCTTTAACAAAATCTTAACATTTGTACGTGTAGAAATTTAATAAATCTGATATACAATGAAAGTTTTGGACTCTAATTTCTCTTTCAAACGTTTTCAAGGCAAAGTAATATTTAACTACAATCCGTAATTGAGTTTCATAAGCTTTGTGTCTCAACAGTGACATCGCAAACATTGCTTTAAAGGTGTCAAATAGTGTTGAAATATTATGAATGAATATGTACGAACTAATTTGCACAAATAACAGATAACTGCAGTCTAACAGTAATGCGGTGTTACGAAACATGCAATTCGAAAATCAAAATGAATTTGATTATAAATATGGTCATGTTAATTTATATTATATACATATATGCATGGTTAGCTCTATCGGTAGCCATTACTGCATGTGTCTCCGTCCTGAATTTACGACAGTTTTCTAACAAGGTGCATTTAAACACTTATTTTGTGTCTCCAGTATAACCAAACTAATAATAATGACTTACACTTACGTCAGTATGATTATAGTGCCCAGTTCTAGTTATTTGAATGATATTACACAGAACCTGTTTGGATGATTGTAATTTATAGCTAATGGAGTTTGTTTTAGTGTAACAGTAATGTGTATGAGTCCATTAGTCTTAGTTAGAAAGATCCATAAAACGAAGTGTAGATATTACAAACAGCTTTATAAAGCTGTGCTAAACTCAGTGATCGCTGACGTTGTTGAATTTTACTGAAACCTAAGGTGTACAACACAAGTCATCCCAAAAGTGAAATAAAAAGGATAAAAGCAAAAAATATATTCCTCTAAAAGAGAAAAAAAAAGGTGAGATTTTATTTTTTCACCATTTAATAATCAATGTGCATACCCCCCAGTAGCTCAGCGGTAAGCCTGAAGACTTATAATGCTAAAAACAAAGTTTAGATACCCGTGCTGGGCACATCAAAGATAGCCCACTGTGTAACTTTGCGCTTAACAACAAAGAAACAAACAAACAATGTTCTTATTATATTGACTCAACATATTGAATGTTACCAGTGAAGTTTTAAGCAGCTGTTTTCAGTGTCACTTTAGTAATGTTGGCAACAGATTGTGTGTTAGCAGTGAAGTTTTAAGTAGCTGGTTTCAGTGTCACTTCAGTAATGTTGACAACAGATTGAGTGTTAACAGCGAAGTTTTAAGCAGATGTTTTCAGTGATGTTGACAGTAGATTGTGTGTTAGCAGTGAAGTTATAAGTAGCTGGTTTCAGTGTCACTTCAGAGTTAGCAGTAAAGTTTTAAGCAGATGTTTTAGATACCCGTGTTGGACACATCACAGATAGCCCATTGTATAACTTTGTGCTTAACAACAAAGAAACAAACAAACAATATGCTTACTATATTGAGAGTTACCAGTGTAGTTTTAAGCAGCTGTTTTCAGTGTCACTTCAGTGATGTTCCAAACATCATCCTGCATCCTGATGTGGATTTCAGGAAACATTTTGGATGTTTTTGAATCTACATATCATTTTACATCATACCTTTCTCTGACGCTCATACAAGTTCCCCAAAGCAGGGAAGCAAATGATTTCAAATTGTCTTATCAGACCTTGTACCTTGTGCTTATTTTATGCATATCTATGGTAATAAGTAACACAAACTAGTAATTTCTTCTGTGATTCTTCACATTGTACGTTGTACAATATATGCTTATTTTTGGATGAAAATGTTAGTACATCTGTTGGTATTTTAACGATATTTTATTTTTAAAACAATTTATTCTATTCTTTAGAATTCAATGATGACTGTATTAAAATTATTTTTATTTGTTAATAAAAGAATTCTCAATTATATTTAACTTTTTGTAGAAATTTATAAAACCGCATATTGAATATGTAATGAGATGTATTAAAACGTAAAAGTTCGAGGAGCAGAAAAATAGGAAATTCTTATTTTAAACCCCTTACAGTAATTAGTGATTTTAAAAACTGTCGAATTTAATACGTTGCTGAGGAAGGTCCAGTCTCAAGTCTGCAATATAAAATATACACGTGGCTGTCAATACTGCAAACAAGCTAGGACTAGCTGTAAAGCAAAGAGGTTGGAATTCTTCATGATATAACGACTAAGCTGAAACCAAATAATAAAGGTAACATTTTAATTATAAGTACACAGAGAGAGTTAACGAAATACAATGAGTTTACAACTATGATTCGGATGGAAACAACGGAGCTTATTCTTAAGAGGCACAGTGTTTTAAATGTTTTCTCTTTCTAATCTCTATATACTCTACTACAGAGAAGCGACATCAGTACTAGTCCTAGCTACTACCTCGGTATTATTATCAGAACGTTACTAAACGCAAAGTATTTGGTATCTTTTTTAACCATCATTTTCTGGTGTTAGAACTAAAAAACAAAAATATAACACCTACAGGACTTAGGTAACAAACCACGTTATCATGAAATAACGTTTATTTAACGTGTTTACCTCAGAGCGTTCAATACTTAAGTTCTAGTTTACAGTAGAGACAATTAGCATGCAGAAGAATCGCTAGCTAGAACTAGACTGAGACTAGGGAATTAACGAGCTCAAGAGATTAATATGTTAATAGCTATTACTACATTCCCGTGAATTATGAGTCAACGTCAAGTACTGACTATTTGCAGCATCGTTTCCTTTATCAAATATTCATTTCTTTACACTTCGAAGCTTCTCTATGTAACTTAATATGTATGGTGTCTAACTTAAGTTTCAAAACGTTTGTATATATAAAACAAATTCTCTTTACATTGCATGGGTATACAGTTGCACAAGCTAGATATCTCATCAAATACGTTACAGATCATCGTAAATAATGTTTCATCTCGACAGTTTCTCTTGAAACTGTATTTAGTGCGGAGCATTCTTTTTCAAAGGAAGCTATGCAACAAGTAGCAATGTCACTATGGTTACGCAGCTAATAATGATGTCATTGTAGCTTTGCAACAAGTAGCAATGTCACTATGGTTACGCAACTAATAATGATGTCATTGTAGCTATGCAACAAGTAGCAGTGTCACTATGGTTACGCACCAAATAATGATGTCATTGTAGCTAAACAATAGCTAGTAATGCCACTGCAGTTACACGACAAGTAATGATGTCACTGTATTATAACACTTCATATCAAATTATATGAAGTTTTAGTTTAAATCATCTTACATTTAAATCTTTTCAACACTATATTTTAACTATGTTTGATACATAAAAGTGAAGATATATTTGTTTGTCCATAATTGTAAGTACATATACTTATTTAACATTTTCTATGAATTATACACGCAGGCTTCAAGGACAAATATATGCAAGTTTTTCTATAATAATATTTACTTATATTTCTATCAGTTCTTCTTTTATAAGTTTTAAGTGTTTCTGAAGTGATTCAAATACCGGAATTAGACAAACAATCACAAAATTATAGAAATAGTAAAAGTTTAATGTTAATTTCAAAATCTCTACATCAGATACGTATAATAATAATAAAATTGCAAGACAGGTCTGCTGTAGTGATACAATACAATAACATTCAAGAATGCTTCAACAATTACAGATTCAGTTAAACAGTTATTAAGCAAAAAACATTCCCAAATAGTTGGTTACTATTATTATTATTACAGTCAAATAAATCAAGCATAACGCGATTAGCAAGTTCAATCCTCTAGTGACAAGCCTCCTCCGCGCCCCAGATAGGTCAGCGGTAAGTCTGTAGATTTATAACGCTAAAATTCGGGTTTTGATATTCGAGGTGAGCAGAGCACAGATAGCCCTTTGTGTAACTTTGTGCTTAACAATAAACAAATCAATGACAAGCAAAGGAAAACATACATTTGAAATTTTCATTCCTTTTCAAATATTACAGTGATGATTTAATTTTATCCTAAATGTAAGTCACCTAAAAAGTTTATCTTTAGTGCAGGAATAAGAAGTGTATCAGGCATGTCTATTATACTATAAATAATTCAACGTGAAAATTGTCTTGTTCTTAACTACCTAAGTTATAAAACGTCATGACGTGATTTTAAAAATAATACAACTTCCCAGTGAGAGTTTTCCAATATGAGACAAGCAGTGCTGTAATACATAAATTGTTCCAAAGTTAGCCCAGCTGTTATTGTTCAAAGTTCG